GCGGCGCTGCCGCGGTGGCGGGTAGCGGCGCGAGAGAAATTTGAAAATATCATCGCGGCAGCGGCAGGCTCCTTTTAGAAGATATTGCCAAAGCTTCATGAATTTGCCAAAAATTGAGTGTCCACAAACGTAACACTCTAAGACTCAATGAATCTCATCGATTAGTGACAAGAATTATATTTCAATACATTCACAGCAATGAAATTCGAAACTTTTTTTCGGGTACCATCTCGGCAGCGGCAGACTTTTTGGAAATTCATCGCGGCGCGGCAGCGGCAGATTTCGAGCCGCGATGGACATCTCTGATACCAGCGTTCAAAAAAAAATAATTAGTGCACAAAAAATATTCCGATTTTTCTTACTCTTAATCTTATGTGATTCGATATTATAATACAAAAAAGATCTTAAAATGAAATGAATAAACACCGAATTGTGTCGGACTTTCTTGTCAAAATACACTGCGAATTAATAGTATAAAATTTATTTTACATACATACAGAAAAACCTAAGAAATACTATTTTTCTTTTTTATCATGCAAGTAAAAATTGAATAAATTGGACATTGTGTTGCAAAAACAACTTGTTAGCGCAGCCCTCTTGGGGCTGAAATGTGGAACTCACATATGCTCTCTAGCTTTATTCAACTAATACAAAATACGTAAACTGAAAAATCTCTCTTAGACTATAGTTGTTTTGCACGATAATCAATCACAATAGCAAGAACCTCTCTAATTTCTGCATTTTGAATAAATTTTTTTTTAAACTTTTTCTATGGGAACCCCTATTTTTTGTTTGTATTGTTGCTATTCGCTCATTATCTTTTATTTTCTTTTAATTGATTGACAAATAAATGTGTTTTACATATCTATGATATCTACAGCAGATCTTACACACTACCATATATATATTAATCAAGTCACAAATAATGATATTCATTATTTTTGGAAAATTATAACTTGATCAATTTTCCAAAAAACAAAAAAAAAACTAGAAAATCGAACACCTTTTATTATTGATTGCTAAGATTTGTAATGGGGGCCTGGGTTCCTAAGTGTCTGTAATGGAGAGGAGAAGAGAGTCGCAAAAACTCGAACTTCAAACTTACACTCACTATTTTCTTCGAAAATATATGTGAGTTCCACAAAACTTGCTTAGTCGAGTTTCAAACTTGATATGAAGTATCATGATGCAAAAAACTTCGACTCGATGGTTATGATTATCTAAGATTGAAAATTTTTTCTTGTTTATTTCTATGGTAATAATCATTGATTGTAGCGCTTTTATCGATTCGCTAATGATTTTGTTTAAATATGACTCAGTGTAAATTATGAATTACTAGCAAAAGAATACTTTAGTGATGATCTATTAATCATCATTCAAAGATAGTAACAATCATGGCTAACAATGAAATAAATGATGTAAAATTTAAAGATGGGTTTTTAACAGAGTTTGTTGAATTATTTGTTCAGTTTTTTTTTTAATTATTTATATATTGATAAATTACTTTAGAATGAATAATAATGAATCAAATACAAAAATAAAACATCTTCAAACAATAATAAATAATAATGAATCAAATTTTAATGGTGAAGATTCTGAAAAGGTGAAATATGTTTTCTGTTTTGTCTGATTTTATTTAGTTAGTCATGATTTTCAAGAAATTCTATCTATGATTATTTATAATTCATTTGTGAAATATTCTGACATTTGATCAGGAGACATCAATAGTTAAGTGAATATAAAATCATATATTAAAACTTTTATTATATCAAAAAATACCTTCGATCATATTTTAACTATAAAAAAAAAGGTAAACGAGTATTTACACCCTTGTCAATAGTACAAAGAATACTCTTCTTGCGAGACTATAGTTTATCTATTTATTATATAAACAACATATCATAAATTATGACTCTTTTAATCGATCTAACTATCCAATATGAAACAAGCAGATGTATTTATGGGAGTATTTTATAATGAAAGAAAAGGGAAAAAAATCGAAGATTTATTGTAGTTGTATATTTCTATGTATCTTTCTTTTAGTAAAAATACTCTACTAACGAGGAAAGGTCATCAAGTGTTACTCTTCGTTTTCAATTAGCTTTATGTTCTTGGCCATAGGCTTTCTTTGAGGAATTAGGTCGATCTCAATTTCAGAAAAAAGGCTGTCAGCTAGCACTGCGGATATTTTCATTATGTTGATTCAAAGCTTTAAAATTTGATGCGTCTTAATTAACTGTACACATCCACACCAAACACATGCATAGAAGTCTTCAATGCATCTATAAATTGGATACTTCAATACCATTAATATAGTGGTAGTACGAATCGAACCACTTTTTTCAAAACTGATAAAATATTTACTATTTTAAAGATGTAGTGATTAAAATCTTGATCGGATATGTGGTTTTCAATAGTCTTCATTATGCTTATTATTGTTTTGCTCGTATGTTGGTGTGAAAAAGTACAATAGATAAGACAGGTTATTCAAAGATTGGAAAACAAAATGTATTTATAATATATACCATAAATATCTGAGCATACAATAGCAATTAGATGAATACTTGATAAAAATAGTTGAGTTCCATATGTCCACAATATTAATGGTATTGATTTAGTTAAGACTTCTGTATTTAGTGTATGGATGTATACATTCAATTAATGCACATCCGTTGTTAAACTTTTCAATGATAAGAACAAAACTAGCATAAAAATCATAATTTCCGGAATAGCAGCTTACAATCATGTTTTTGAAGTTCAGATCGACCTAACTCTTCAATAGTATTTTATAAGAAAGAATGTTTTATGTCATCGAGCTCGACAAAATGACATAAAGCTGATTGAAAATAGAAGTTCACACTTGAGAATCTTTCATCATAAGTATATGTACTATTAAGAAAGATGAAAAAATACTAATGTACTTCTTTATTGTATATTGTTTCTTAAAGACTATGCTGTTTTTTAGACGATCAATCAAACATCTATAACTCAAAATAATACAAATAATAACAATGATCAAGTAATCACATCTCAATATGATTGTACGAGTGAATTAGCTGAATCTGCTAATGCATCATCTAAACCTACGATAAATGACTATAATAATAATAATAATAAATCATTAACTAAAACTAATCGTAAATCTCGTAAACATGTTGTACAAGATCATTCTTCCAATGGAAATGACAATGAAAATAATAGACAACGATCATTATCATCATCATCTTCTACTTCTTCATCATCAACAAGTTCATCAAAATCAAGTGATAATCAAATATCAAATATTCCTTATGAAACATTACATAATGATGAAGATGATGATAATAATAATGATAATCTATCTGAACATTCAAACAAAACAATTAATCAAATATCATCATAATCTTCATTGAAATAGTATTCTTCTTGAGCAACAAAAAAAATAAAAGATTTCAATTAATTCAAAACTATTTCATGACTTTTATATGTTAATAAATAATTTTTGAATATAATTTTTCTTGTTTTTTTTTTTCTTCTTTTGTCTCTTACTGTTCATTTAAAACAACGAAAAGAGGCATTCACATATAGACCATAAAATTCCAAACAAAAGAAAAACCGACAAAACAAACAAAAAAAAAACAAAACAAAGCACTGTTCAACTAAAGAAAGCTATTGCCCGCAAATAGAATGAACAACAAATATAATATATATATATATATAACCATACAATACAAAAGAAATTATAACACTTTACAAATAGTGACGATCCTTGATTGTCAAAATACCAGAAAATCAAACAAGGATGACATTTATTTGAGCGATACATATGAAAAGAAAACCAGAATGGACATATGTATGTGTGTGTAACTGTCTTGACAGTTACAAAAAACTAGCTCGTTTACACATCACAGTTGATCGAAAATAAAAATAAAAATAAACTATACAATAATAATAATAATAATAATACATTCAATATGGATAAGTAGTATTGTGACGATGATGTTGATGATTGAAAGAAGATGGTGTCATTGTTCCTGGATTATTTGTTGTGCCTTGAAATGAAACATTCATATATGAATGTACAGATAATGATGGATTATTCACGGGTATATATGATGAGGATGATGATGATGATGATGGAATTAAAAATTCATCATAAACAGAAGTTTTACCTCTTGTATGTAAATCATGAAATGATGTTGAATTTTGTCCGGATTCAAATTGTAAAGATGATGGTCGATATACGGGAGAAGAATTTTGTTGAGGTTGATAACCTGATGAATAAAATGTTGGTGATGATGAATTATATAATGATGAATGAGATGATGGAATATTTGTTTGACTATTATTTTCTATTGGTATATAACCAATTGATTTTGGTGATGATGAAGTAAATAAACTATTAAGTAAATCTTTTTGTTCAATATTATTAATAGCTACAGCTGTTGCTACTTGTTGAGATTGTCGTCTTAATTCAAGTGTACGTGCTAAATGTTTATTTTTAATATTTTCTAATTGAGATAATTTATTAAGTATAATATTCTAAAATCAATAGAATATAATTAATAAATATTGATTATAATTCTTTTTCTTTAAATATGTTTACCCGTTTCATCACATCATTTGCTTGTCCTCCATTAGCTATTTCTTGTTTTCGTGCTAAATCTAATTGAGCTTCTAATTTTTCTTTTGCTAGAATAATAAAAAGAAATTAAATTTGATTAGATTTTGATATAATTTCGTAAAATTTTATTTCTAAAATTAATATTGTTTCAACAGTTTGAGATGTTTGGAAAAAATAATTCATGACTAAGTATTAGAAGATTACGAACTCATATTCTTTTGTCAATAACAAGTTCAAATAAATCATTAATTGAGATAAATCGAAACATATGAAAATAAAACTACTGGAAAAGTTTAATTTTATTTAAAAGAATTCGATGATTAGGAAGTTGCGAATCCTTCCAAAATCGAGTCCGAATTGATAAAAACGTCTATTCGCAGCTTCCTACCGCTGATTATAATTATTTACAATGACTCTCAAAATTGTTCAACCAGATTTATTTCAAATTTTTTCCACTATTATAAACATTAATAAGAATTCAAATGAGAATTTGTCTAAAGAATTCTATTTGTAAAGTCCAGAAGCTGAAAAATCATGGTTTTTCAGAGACCTTTATCCATTAGAAAACTATCAGCCATTTTCATCTTCGAAAATTCTTCTTAAAAATAAAATTTTCTATACAAATCACTATTTGAATTCTTATTAACCCTTTCCGGCCGGATGTTGCCATTTGGCAACATTTAGTCAATATTTCTAGGATAGCTTGCTTAGAGTAAAGATATAAAACTTTTTAACTATTCGATAATTATTGCAGTACATTTCAGGATACACTCATGGTTTCTAATACAAAAAGGAACTTTCCGTTGGGAGCATAGCCGAATTTATCTACAATATCCCATAGAAGCCATTCAACCGTAAAATACATTTTCCTACAGATTGACTGATTCAATACTAGAAGTCATTAGCTGTAAATTTTGCTGCTTAGATCTATTGCATATTGCATTGATAAAAAGGATTGTTCAGTAAATCCAAACAATGAAAATTATAGATGTTGCCATTTGGCAACAGCCGGCCGTAATGGGTCAAAAAATTGAAACATTTTTTTTTCGACTTCGATCATCAAAATGCACTATTGTATGTCTTTTCGTTTGTTCAAAAGGTTTTTAGAAGAAAGTATGACTCAAACATGTATAGAATGCTTTCCACAACTTTTTTCAAATTCAAATCTAGTTTTTAGTGGCAAAATTCAAATTTGCTAGCCTTCAGAGTGTAATAACCGAACAAGAATAGGTGCATCGTGAGTTAAATGCAGACGTTGGTGTAGATCTTTCATTTACCTACACGCACATTCATATTCAAACCAATTATTGTTTTCTATGTCCTTTTTGGAGAACTGCAAGTCTCGTGCACTGGAGTTTTGTCACTAAAAACGAAATTTAAATTCTGAAAAAGCTGCATGGAGGCGCTCTATCTATGCTTGAGTAATTCTTTTCATGTTTAAGTGTTTTTAATAAACGAAGAGGTACTGAATAATGCATTTTTATAATCGAAATCGAAAAAAAATTTGTCAACTAATTTGACCCGTTACGGCCGGGTGTTGCCAAATGGCAACATGTAGCCATTGGATACAAAAAAAATCTTTTATTCTGAAAAATATATTTTTGGTATTACTGTGGTGGAGCAACAAAAAATATGCAAGACAATATTTTCTTGCTGTCTGCCTTCTGGAAGCCGGCTGGAAAGGGTTAACGCTTATGCAATGGAAAAATATTTAAAATAAACCTGACTGAATAACTTTGGGAACCACTGAGTATTAGAATTTCATACAAAAAATACTACACCGAGAAACTTGCAAGGATTCAAACCTTGATATCACCAGTCATGAAGTTACCCTGAACAAGACACTAATCGTTGTTTGTTTCAGATCACCTTTCCGATAGCATGCTGACTACTTTGTAACATCCACCTGCTCTTGTGGTTTGTCAGTATGTATGAGGAACTCAAATAGTTGAGTATAAGAACTCTCCATCAGACCAGCTTTTTGTCCACAACTTCAGCTAATATTCGTTGTATGAGACGATATCAGATTATTGAGTCTAACCTAGGGCAGGAGTATACTTCTTCTTCCTTTTTCTCAGACGACTTACATAATTAATTTTCAATTTCAAATATTGCATAAATAAAGTTCTTAGTAAGATTAATTCATTGTGAAAGTATTAAATTTTCTAGTATCATAAATATCATGATTCAAAAATTCTATTAGATGAAAAAGTAAACTTTATTCTTATATTTAATACAAGAGAATCTGACATATTTGTGATGGATTACTCTTATCATGACACTTTAATTAGATAAATACGATTATAAGGTCGTGGATACAGAACGAGGTATCATGTCAACACATACTGCTATATATCGAGCTCTTGATATAATGCATATTCTATTAGACAGAAAAAGTTATTCTGAGTAGTGTCACATATCCAAGATTTTGGAGATGCCACCGTATCTCCCGCGGGAGATGCCGCATCTCCAGCGGGAGACGCGGCACCCACACTCGGGAGATGAGGTCATTCACCACTGGAGA